ATAAAAGGTCAACTTCCTGCTTTCACTCCTTTTTTTTTTAGCATATGCAAATAATTCCAATATTTCATTAGATTTTTTTTAACATGATGTTTCAACTATCAAGCTGCTTGCAATTTTGTTTTTCTTTTCGCAAATATAAAAATTTATGCTTTCCACCCACCCCCACCGTCACAAACCTCTTCACCGACGTAAAATTAGAATTATCTCAGAGCTAATTTTAAACACTTTCGTTCAGGAAGGCGGTCTTGGGCAGACAGCTAAAGCGTTAGAACGTTGAGCAGGTAGCGATTAGGCTTAAAGGTAACCAGAGGCTTCAAGTTGTTTACGAAAACTAACGTCATCATATTTTATTAAGATAAAAAGATACAAATTGATGCTGCGTCATTCTAGCACTTTTCTACAAATGTAGCGCATCGATAAGGAAACTAAGGTTTACTTATGCAACCAAGCGAAGGGAGGTTTGGGTTCATGACATTTTCAATATCAACTCTACTTCTAAATCTATCAGTCCCAGTTATCATAGTTTGTGCTTTCTTTTACAAGTACAGCTACATCACCGATTTTTTTTTTTTTTTTTTTTTTTTTTTGTAGAATTATCCATTTGCCGAACAAAGAGAATACTATAATTATTTCTACTAATAATTATGCCATACACCGTTGGGCAACTATATATATTCCGGATTCAAAGAGATATTAGATCATCCGTCGCCAAAAATTAGTATGGTATTGTTGGGTCTTCTAAGTTCCAATGTATTGATACTGTATTTTCTACATTGGTATACAGAGTGTGACTGGAACGTTCCAGGAATTTGAACAGCAGGAGAACCAAATATTCTACAACGCGACTATGAGCAATACTTACTGTTAAATCTGTCTCGATATCCAAGGAATCTATTTCGAAAGAGAACGCGGAAAGTAATCGTTAAGTCAAATAACTGTTTTCATAGCCAAATCCCTTAAATTGTTGATATATATATATATATAATGTGTGTGTGTGTGTGTGTGTGTGTGTGTGTGTGTGTGTGTGTGTGTGTGTGAGTGTGAGAGAGAGAGAGAGAGAGAGATGGAAGAATCAAATGTCTGAACAGGTTAGCAAAAATTTCAGTACGAAATTCAGCTGTATATTTTTTTCGGTTCATTGGTGAATATTAAATCGCGTGAAGCGCATCGGCCAGGTTGATTTGTTTTTTACGCCTTACCAACCCTTTTGTAGATGATTTAAAGCTAGAAAATATTTTAGGTTGTAAGAATTGTTTTGAGATAATGATTTATTAATGCAAATCCTATTAATTAATCCTTATCTGGACGACGAAGAGTTGGCTTCACAAATTTCCCAAGTGGATTTGCGCATAAGTGAAATTACACCACCAGCACATCTAAATTTACAGCACCTGGTATTCTCAAGCGATCGTCCATCAAAGATACCAAACCGGGTTTACTTTCTTTAATTTCAGTGATCCTACGAGAACCCGTGTTTTGACGTTATATGACCCTAAGACATAAATAGACAAGGAAGATCACTTGGAAAATACTTTTTTTTCTCTTTTCATCATTGTGCTACTGAAATATTTATATACCTCTCTCTTATCAATATATGTAAGCAAATATACGGATATAGATCCGACAGTATGAAGAAAATACAGAAAAAAAAACAAACAAAATTCAGCGTTCCAACTGAAATTTTTATACAAGATCAATCCGTTTAAATATGATCTTGTAAAATTTCAGTTATCTGTTTGGATTTTCATTGGGCATTATGTCCATCGTCTTTTAAAATTTTTATATGTTCTAATGTTAATTATGTTTAAATGAAAATGTCCATGAAGATGGTCTTAAATAGACCGAAACGTCCGACGTCGACTTTATATTAACATTAATACTACATAATTGCATATTCAGAATTTTGTTTGTTTTTTCTGTATTTTTCTTCATATATATATATATATATATATATATATATATATATATATATATATATATATATATATATATATATATATTTATTTTATTTTCTTAACGTTATTTTTAATTATATTTTTTTATCGATTCATTCATTCTCGTACCCCTACATGTAAATGGATCACTCCATTATCTTGCCAGTAGCCTATAAATTAAGTGTTAGAGCGGACAGTTTTAATTTATTCCTGACAATTGCTGTATGTCCGTATCATCGAGTGACGAGGCACAAATATATAATTATTTTTAGTATATATAAACGTACACAGAGCCACTCATTTAGCGAGAGAGTTCCGTTCCAATGAACTGACTACTAAGTACCGAACCCCTCTTTCAAACCTAATGGGTTTGTGCCAAGCGGCTTCATGAGGCTTTAATGTCACTTTTTGTACCATTTGTAACTTTACTAAATGTTTGTACGTATAGTAGTGTACTCATCCTTAATCGTAATGAACAAATCTAGAAATCCGCTCTATATACTGTATATAACTTGCTTAGTGTAAAAACAGTAAAAATATATATATATATTTTTTTTTACTTAATTTTCACTTTCTTTAATCATTTTGAAGAAAGAAAAACACGAGCGAAGCTATCGTATAACATACAATAACTACATGTGTATGATATATATATTTCAAACATATTTGGTTGAATAAACATGTCTTTTTTATTTTAATCCTATCGAATTCGGACCTTTTTAATGTTGATATTAAATTCATTAAGGAAGACACCGTAGTTTTTTTTTTATTTCTTTTATTTTCCCCCAAGTACTTTCATTCACGTCCGAGATCATCATGGGGGTGGGGGATTGCTAAGACAAAAAATTAATGTAATTGATAAATATAAATTTAGTTTTGTAAATGCGCATAAAAAGCGCTCTGTTATAATTATTTTAAACACGTATGAATGCTCCCTGTTATAATTAATTTAAAAATAAACTGTTAAAGCTGCGACATTTTTTTCATGTTTTTATCTAAGGGAGGTAACTTTAATTTATATAATTGTAGTTTTTCATAGTTACAACTTAAGTATTTTAAAAAACATTACTATTATAGACATTTTAAAACATTGTTGCTATACTCATAACTAGTCATATTTAGTGTTGAGTGTATTTTTCTTATATAGAGCGTCTCAAAAATTTTTTCAAGGTTTGTTTTTGATTTTCATGGTGAAGTTTACTTGTATTGTCAATTAATATTTCTCTAATTTTTTTAGTGTGGACAGGAATGCTTCTTTAAATGTTGTGCGATTGAGTTTGAATCCGACATATGTAGTGTAAGTCTTTTTGATAATGCTGTTGTCGTCAAACCAACATATATATTTACTTTTTGTCAGAGATAAAATCTTCCAAAGAACATACAATGTTAGTCTTTTGCAAAACATTTAGTTAACGGATAAGAGTTATTGCGGATTATAAAGTTGGCTGAATTGAATTTAGTATATATATATATATATATATATATATATATATATATATATATATATACGTGTGTGTGTTCGTATGTATATAGCCAGAGCTGCATAACTACTAAGCTGCTTATAACTTTTTGTGGAGGAACTAAATCTGCGTATTTACTAAGCTGACACTAGACCACAATTGTGGTGCATTCAATGAAGTTTAGGATCCCACGCAAATGCTCTGCAGGGAGAGATTGTTAACTGCTGTACTATGGTAGGCTTAAATCATGTAATAACTGTGAGTCACATTTTATCTATGCTTGTGTTATTGCTGTTCAGGCGTCTGTATATATCATATGAAAGTATAATGTGATCGTTTAAAGACATTAGGTATGCTGTGTGCAGAAGTTTCGGTAAAATAAAGGATGCTTTCTAAATTAACGTTTCCAGGCTGTTCTAATTTTTTAAATTTAGCGTTATTAAATTTTGAATTTTGCAACTTGTTACTTTTGGGAATGCTTTTTAAATAAACTCGAATAACTTGTGCAACTAAAGAGAAATAAAGTCGAAATTTAATTTTCAAATTTAGTCCCGTTCGCTCCTTGGAAACGAATCTGAGAATCCTATTTCACATGTGTAGCCACAATCACTAGTTTAACACACAAAAAATAAAAAAATAAACTAAAATAAAAAAATAAACAAAATAAAAAATAAACTAAAATAAAAAATAAAATAAAATAAAAAATAAACTAAAATAAAAAAAATAAACTAAAATAAAAAAATAAACTAAAATAAAAAATAAACTAAAATAAAAAAATAAACTAAAATAAAAAAATAAAATAAAATAAAAAAATAAACTAAAATAAAAAATAAACTAAAATAAAAAATAAACTAAAATAAAAAAATAAACTAAAATAAAAAAATAAACTAAAATAAAAAAATAAACTAAAATAAAAAAATAAACTAAAATAAAAAATAAACTAAAATAAAAAATAAACTAAAATAAAACATAAAAAACAATGCAGGGAACTTTTGCAAATAAAAAAAAAAACAAGACTTCACATAGAATACCATTTAATCTACTAACAAATGTGTTTAATTTTGACGGAGCCAACATACCAAATTCACATTATAAGCTTGAATTCCGAGAAGAATGAAAAGTGAAAGATTAAAACCCATATAAGCATGATGCCCAACTAGATTTAGGCAGTGGAGAACTTGGAGAGGGGAATTAACCGGAGATAACTGACATGGCACGTGGAACTAGAACAGTCTACCCCAGTGAGCGAAATAAAGAGTTCAGTTCGACATTCCAACCACCTGAAGAAGGCAGGTGCGTACAACGACCGAAACGTTGTTATAAATATGGCGACAAAGATGAGGACAATAGTCCGAATAATGTAAATAGTGACTATAATAGTTTAGTACCATAATGAACTCTTTGTTATGATACAAAAAAAGCATATTGTACTCTAATGTGTTAGGCTCGGTATTTGGGGCTGATTAAATCGGGAGTCATGGCTCCATGGTTTAACGCTCCTCTCTAAGGGAATACAAGTTCTTATCTTTTCCATACGACATTGGAAATAAGGATGCAGAAAAGTTCTCAGCCTGAACCACTAGGACTTTTTTTTAGTCGGCAGAACTTCCCGGCACCAGCGAGATAGAGATAGAGAGCAATAGAGTGATAGAGAGCGATAGAGAGAGTGAGTGAATGATAGAGAGAGTGCATATTAGGATATTACCAAAATAAAATGAAAATGGGGAAAAATAAATCTCATCATGTGATAAGGTTAAGTATTGTTTATCTTACTTGTCTTATCACAAAACAAACCAACACTAATGATACACTTACGTTTTGCGTATCACGGATTTTACATGTACAATTTTTACTACATAACAACACACACAGAGTATTAATACATAGCTCAAAGCAAACAAAGCAGTTTTGTGAATTTGCCAATTAATCACGAGACCGTCAAGTATTTTTTTCATCGCTCAATTCTAAGCTAAATTCGAAATTGTCTATTCCAGGTTTAAAAAAAAAAAAAAATGGAACATTAATATTCTTCGCACTAAATTTAATGAAGTAACAGAAAATGAAATTATATTTAAAGCAAAAATCCAAATTTATGCAGCATCGTTCAGTTTTTCTTTCTGTCCATCAATGTAACGCACTGGGGATAAAACTAGCATTAAACGGATTAGTTAACCAGATATGCAGGAGGAAGGGTAGGGGGAAGAGATTAATGCCGTTCTCAAGTGAATAACATTAAACTCCAAAAACAAATAGAAGCCCGTTCGAAAGATTTATTTCCAAAGTCACTGCCAACTGCAACAGTTTGTATCTCCCGCCATAAAATAGTAAAAAAGAAAAAAAAAAGTTTCTATTAATTTCCTTTCTCCTTTGCCATATATTATTTACCCTATCAAGATATACGTTAGTGGATTATCCCACTTAGCTTTGGCAAAAACACCTACTGGAAGGGGTCGGGGGCTCTTTAAGCCGATAAATAAACAATCATATTCTCTCTTTCCTCTTTTTACCTCTGGCTTTCAGATGTCGTCGACGTAGATAAAGAACGCTGCCGACGGGGCACGTTCACTTCCTTGGTCCTCTGTTCAATTTTTAACTCTCTCACGCACGCTTGTCTATCAGACACACGCGCAAACAAACACATTCTTATCATAGCTAGTTTTAATGTCTCTTTCCTTTTATTACATTACAATTGTGTACGCATGTAATTCCTTATGTTAATAACATGTATTGTCTTTTATTTTATATTCATTTTCTTTGTGTTTTTAATGTTTACCCGGACTCACATTGAGTCCGCCAATGTTGTTGACGGGTTGAAATGTTCCAGTGGCTCAAATATTTAATATTACATATCTATACACATCACATCCAAAGTGTCGATACCCGCAACATAATGGTGACTTATTTCTACCCAAACAAATAGTATCAACACACGAAATACACAACTTTATTTTAGAAGCCACCTAAGATTTTCACCAATACTCTGCCTTAATTTCTGCGTAAGAATTACTTCTGGATTTGCTTTAATGGCTTCATGAATTGTTTATGCTTTACGTTAATTATTTGAATCATTTAATCCCAAACAAGGCAATAAAGCCTCTAAGACGTAATGAAGTTACTAAGTATGTGAGCATATGAGAAAGAAATCATTAAAGAGAAAGAATAAAAAAATAAAACAGGAATTAAGAGAAAAGAACGGCTGGCATTGCATTTAAATTTTTAGAAATGGAAAGTAAAAAGCTGGTTGAGGCTTTCACAAGCAAGAAGTGCGAAAGAAGAAATTGTTAACATAGGACTTACGGTTACATCTAGCCATTTCAACTGTAAAATGACAACACCTTTCCACCAATCTAGTACTGCGCTTAAATTTGTAAAGTCTAGCAAGTAAAGAGGAAGGTTTGTAGTGGGCTGTGTGGTTGTACGCGTTATGAGATGAACACGTGTCGTCTCCTGAAATAGGGCTCACAAAACAAATATGGCAGACTCAGAATAAGTTCACCCAAAAGAAATGTAAAAGAAAATATGAAGAAAACAACAAAAAGACCGGTATATAATATATATATATATATATATATATATATATATATATGAGTTTAGTGACCCTGGGTTTCACGCTTTTGTCTGACGATCGCAAAAGCTTGAAACCCAGGGTCACAAACTCACATCAATCCAACCAAATATGTTAGCTGATATTGAGCGCTTTCTAATAAGTACCGCGCATATAATATATAAATAATTATATATATATATATATATATATATATATATTATATATGTATGTGTGTGTGTGTGTGTGTGTGTGTGTGTATGTTTGTACGTGCGTATGTGTACGTTTTGTGGAGTTTCCCAATCAAAATAGCGAAAACGCAATCTTTACGAGATTACATTGTTGTAATGTCCGCTGAAAATGAAAAGTGAAAGAGCATAAGGCAGGGCCTCGTCAAGTATATATAGTGTTGGGAGAGCGACCCCTAGGAACAATTTGGACAATTAGGAAAAGAAGGAGAAGTTAAATCCGACAAGTTCACCAGAACAATTACCATAAAAATAAAGGGAAGCTATATTACGAAAAATAGAGAATAAATATAACTAAATCGGTACATTTGATACAAACTTTGAATACAGTATAGAAATAACATATTTGGTAAACTTTTCTTTAATTACAACTTTTTGAGTTGCTTAAAACCACACTGACGTCAGTAGTGCAGTTGATTAAGATTTAGTTAAATTGGAATAGAATTGCTTATTTAAAAAAAAAAAAAAAAAACATCGTATAAAGTAATTTCGAAAATCTATGCATGTAATCTACAGGGTGTTCCAAATGTCACGCGACAATTGGCAGAAAATATACACTCGTAAAATAGCAACCAAGGAAAATTTGCATGACATCATCTTCCACAATTCGACCAATAAAATTTCTTAATAATATATCATCACATACGAAACATGATTCCAGTTGGCAAATAAATCTAAAATTTACAAGGTTATCAATGGTAATGCGATTTTTGGAACACTGTATTATTTTGTACGGTCTTCTGTATGCCGTGTCCCTTCAGGACGTAGGCAATCATAGTTCTGTACATCTTTTTGTAAATCTCACTAACGCTTATTTCTTCACCATCCCCATTCCCATCTATTTAGACAAGTTTAAGAAGGTTACACGCTGTTTCCCTTTGTCTCTTGCTTTCAATGTGTCTTGTTAGTGTCAAATTCTCCAAGACTTATTTTATCATTACGTGTCTCTTCATTCAACTGTCTTTCTGATTAAGCGTCCTTTTTATTTCCATTTCCCTTCAAACTTCCTCATTACTCACATGCTCAGCCAATGTTATTTTCAGCATCGTTCTATAGAACCACACTTTTGTGTCAAGTCTTTTTCTTGATCTGCGAAAGGTTTTTCCAGTATTCAATGTCATATAGGAGGACATATATTGCATAGCTGTTCAGTACCCATCTTTGTTTCTAATGAAAATTTCTTCGTCTTGGTGATTTAAAACGAGATATAGTAAATATCCTGTTCAATACGTCAGATTTACTTTTCAATTGCCTGATGTTATCCAACTGGGCGTGTCCTCTATGGGTTCGCGTACTGCGCATCTCTGTTCAAGAGCGGGAGTAGTGAGAGAGCATCATAGCCGGGTGATAGAGCGAGAGAGAGAGGCTGTGTTCTGTTTTTTAGGTTTTTTATTTTTTTGTTCGAAAGACGGGGGTAACCAAAAAACCTAGAATTCACAACCGGAGACTGTCTGAGACCGACCTGAAGGTATTTCTAACCGGGCCCCTATCTTCAAGGTTAAGCGATGCTTTTTATCAAAACCCATCAAATTTCCTTTAAAGAATTTCCATGTTCACTTCAGGTGTCTAGTGGTCATCACTAAGGATCAAGTGACAGCAAGTTTCGTCAGACGCCCAGCACTTTCCTCAGTATTCTCACCGACTCCAGTGCCGCTATGATCTGGAACGTCCCAATCCTCCCTTCAATCTCCATTTCCTGAAAATTTATATGGATCTTTTCAAAGTACGCAGGTTATTACCGGTATGACGTTCCACGTGAATATTTTTGTATTGAGGAATCGGAGAGCCGAGTTCGAATTCCAGTCGAATCTTACGTGCTAATACCCTTGGGAAAGGTATGAATCCTCTTCTTCCCCCAGCTATGAGTAAATAGCAGGACAGACCGGGTTCTGTAACCTTGGATGGCAACTGGTCTACCGCAGATAAGTAATGGCAACCTACTTCGGGGAAATAATCTGCCTCGTCAGTCATGTATCATACATGGCACATAATTGAATTGATTTGTCCTGGTGTTCGAAGTAGTATTTTTTAGAAAACAGAAGCAGGTGGATGTAATGATTGTTTTATCTACTTTCCGAATTACTATGTACTTCGATATTTTCCGATTTATAAATATTATTATCATTTATAAATATTTATCTTCATAATCATCATCATACTATTATTTTTAATTGGTATCACCCCAAGCATAGCAGTACAGCCACTAACACGCAAGAGGTTACAGTGTGTGGTTGAAATAGGAACAGAAATATTAACATTGGGTGAAAAGAGTAATCAAGATTACAGCAGATAGCGATTGACATTGCATTTAAATTTTTGCAGATTAAAGTTAGCTGGAAGCATGGAGCCGGAAGGGAGTTTCACAGACGAGAGGCGCGGAAAAAGAAACTGCCAGTATAGAAGTTACGGCTACATCTAACCAGCACAGCTCTAAATTGATGAGATCTCGTCGCCAGCGTACATAAAATAAAACTATTATGTGAATAATGCTAAAATTAATTTTTAGCTATTGAAAATCCCTTATTTACAAAATTACAACAATTACCCGCCTGAAAATATGTAGTTTAAAAGACCTTGCTTACCAGACACTTTGTAGCTAAATTGTATAGCACCTCAGGCTATATAACGGTTTCATGTAGGAAACAGGTTCGATGCCTGTCGGAAGTCACATTTTCTATGAAATTTCTCGGACATTCAGGCTGGTAAGTGTTGTTACTGTTTATTATGAACAAATCATTTACTTAAATAGTTGTATCTATAAAAATAACGTATAAACAATAATATATTAATATAACTGTAAGACTCGGTCAGTTTCATAATATACAATTCTATAGTAAAATTGCATCAATCCTTGACCACTGAAAATTCTTTTCTGATCTCCAATGCAATTCTATAGTAAA